TTTACTTTTATATTTATGTAAAAATGCCTATCCTTTTTGTAATGCCTTTGAGTTGTGAGAGAAAAATAAATGCAATGAAAATGATATCAACGCGGTATCACTTTGGTATGAGTCACGGTCCAATCAACTAAACTTAACTAATTATAAATGCATGCGCGTACCCCGTGTACGACACTATTCGCAGATTAAATTATCCAAGGAGCTGCGCTGCAGTAGATTTCAGAGTACAAGAACCTTGGTGTACATATCACACCTAACGTAACGTGGAAATCTCCCACATATAACGTAACTAAAAATGCAAATCGCATACTGGGATATTTGAAGGGAAACTTTTCTATTGGCACTACCATTGCGAAATCTAATACTGCATAAAAGCTAGTCCGAGCGAGACTGGGGTATGCATCGTCTATTTGGAACCCTGGTCAGCCTTCACTAATTGTATTATTTAAAGCCTTACGAAACGTTTCATTTGTTTGAACTCTCATCCAACATCAAGTGTTTCATTGATGAAGGTTAACCTTTCACTCCCACACCAATCAGACGGCAGAAAACTCGCTCGGTTAAGCTTATATCTCACAACATTTAACACACAACCCCTACTCTGCGAAATAGCTTCTTCGAACTTCATTTCTCTGTTTTATCACGAGTAAATCAACATAAATTTGGCATCCCTCATACGAATAACAATGTTTTTTACTGTTGCTTTATACGACGCACATCCCTTGAGTGGAACGACCTTCCGGGTTCCATCGTCTCAATTACTGACGGTGTTATTTTTAACAATGCGTTCATTATTTTTTTAGCTGATTTTGTTCAACTTGCCTTGTACTGTTTTTCCCATATCTAATACCGACTCACTGTTTCCCACTCTCCTTCTGTAATGATTCATGCCCTGAGGGTAAATAAATGAAGCCAAAAGAATTCTCGAAATTAAACTTTCTGAGGGCCTCAGAGTGGCGTTCGAAGTTTCGCGAAGTTTTTCACGAATGTTTCGCTTTATACTTTGAGGGGCTTAGGAGGCTCCATCTCAATTTCTTCCTTAAGGTTATTATTTATTATGTACGCTGGAGGTTCAGCTGGCGTTAGTATTGTTTCACATTGACGCAGACGGCAGCCAGTTTACTTCCTCTAATGCATTTCTATGGGAAAAATGGATGAATTTTTTTGCGCCTGATTATTAAACTGAATATTAGAAGGCATTATTTTGTTTTATATTTCTTGGAACATTCCACTGTTGTGTAGTTCAAATATTGTTCTGTTAATGTATTTTTCTTTCCAATTCGTGACTTTAGGTACCTTGGGAAATAGCTTGATATATGCATTTATGTACACCGTCCGAAACTGTTAGAGCGCAGATGGCATTGCCGCTTTTGTACACGGAGGTTTACGTGCCAAAGCAATGAATGACACCTCAAAAATCAAAAGAAACGTCAAGAATTACGCTCTTACACTTTATCAATGCCGGCTTGTGCATGTAGACGATCAAAATAAAAGGAAAGCCAAGTAATAGTGCCTTTTGCGATAAATAACATTCGTTTTATTCCCTCTGCCCATGTTATAGGTGCGAAGGCGTTATTTAGCTTTGAAAGCATCGTACTTGCATGCTCGAAAACTTTAAAAATGGGGGAAACCCAGAAAAAGCCTATCGCCCAACAAAATCAGCACAATAAAAAAAGGGAAACACTTTTATAGTCCATGTACTTATACTGTTTTATGGGTTTCTAACCACTCGTAAATCGGGGTCATTTTAATGGTATGTGAACCTCGCAGATTGTCAAAATTATCATCATCGGGATGTTGGCTCTCGTTGAACAAGCCCTACGTTATTTTCAACTGTTATTCTTCCTCAAATTCGTCGCTTCCTTTTACCAGTATTGCATAAGATACTGGACAAAATTATTTAGGGTAAGCTACTAAATACCCGATTCACAAAATATGTAGACTGCTACACAAATTACCTTCAGTAAAGAGTATCTTGAGTAAAGTGCAAATACTTAGAAATGTAATTCTATTAATTTCGAAGATACTTCCGCATTTTATAATTCGTACCGTCTGCAGTGACACCAGAAATATTTATTTCGAATCAACAGACGCAGCAAAAACGCAGTCTAAATATATGTAGACCCAATACAACGAGTATTACTCTAATGCCTCTTACAACATAACATTTTTAAGACGCTGAAAACCACATTTTGTACTGGTTTTATAATGCGCACCTAGAATGAATCGTTTTGCTTAGGACCATGGCCACTTTATCCGGAGTTCACTTTAAACAAGTTTTGAGCATCACTTACCGGCCTTCCTTGGGTGGGTACCCAAACGCTGCGTGACACTTAACTCCGAAAGAAAGGCATAAGCGGACATTGAGAAGCCCTGCTTTAGTGCTCTCGGTTGCCCCTTCTCTTTTATTTTCCCCCTACACTAAGCTGTGGAAACGCGTTCAGGAAGAGGAATAACTTTGGGGGGACTTTTTCTTTAGATTTTTTGAGACAATGCTGCTCGTATCTTGTTTCCTGCCATGATGTTGCAACATCATGGTAACATCACGGCTTTGTCCCCGCCATTTCATGACTCAGTGTCAATTATCACCGTTACCCACTGATAGTGTTTGTGAGAGCTTTAGACTGACGAAATAAAGTACCATTATTACCGTACCAAAATTCGACATAATTAAGAAACACCCAGATAACGTTTTTTTTTTCTGATTTATTGTGGTGCCCACTCCACATTTCATTCTGTTTGTTTCTCTGTTGGCATTTTAAGTATTCATATTTGGTTCCGGCTAATTTACTGTTCTTGTTCCTGTTCTTGTTCGGCCGTTTCCGCGTCATGTTTGCAATCGGTTCAACTAGTGCCACTAAATAAGCTACGCTTCAGAGTAACGACGCTTGCTTATATTCTGCCTTAAAATCATGATTGACAATTATTTGAAGCTTTATCTGAAATCACCGGAAACAGTTTTCCGTCCTCCACAAATGTTTAGACAGTTCACGACAGAGCAAAGCTATATTTCATGAGCTTCCTAACACCGAAACAAATCCTAAGGAAGTCGCACTTTTGAATAACGACGTTCGGCAGTTGCGCCTGCTCTGCTCAAGAACAAGATGGCGGTGCCCACAAAACTATCGGGAACAGAGTGCCGACATTCTTAGCATAGCTCATTTAGTGGCTCTAGGCTACACTTGTGGCGGCGTCACGCGTGTGCCGAACGCTTAAGGCCCTGGCGAACTCGTCTAAAGCCAACTCGTCGATGGTCAACTTGTCGGCGGCCCATTCGTCGAAGGCAATTCGTCGAAGGAAACCTCGTCAAAGAGGCTAACTTCTCGCCGCCCTTTAAAGGGCAAATATATTTTTCCTTGAAATTTTAAAGCAAATACTGCGCTATAGTAATTCCTAAACTAGACGCACGGTAATTGACCTCCAGCGTGCCCTTTCTTGTCGAAGATAACAACTTGCCCTTTTCGCCGCTTCTATGGTGCAGTGCGCAAATTTTATTTCGGGGAGGGGGAGGAGGGGGGGGGGGGCTGAAGCCTTATAAGCCTCCTCCCTGGCTGCGTCACTGGAGTGGGGAGCGGCCACAAGGTCGCGAGTGTATCACTGGGGCGCGTGTTGCCCTACCCGGCCAACCCGTTCACGCTGCTTCGCAGCGACAGTCTGCGACGGCTCATTATGAAACGTAAGAAAGAAAATTAAAAAAATGAACGATCCCGAGATGAAACATTTTTTCAACTTACCTTAAGGTTCTTTCCTGTCTTCGCTTTCTTCACTGGTCCAGCCACAGATAAATATTTAGGTCAAAAGGTAAGAAACGACGACATATTACCTCGAACTGTAATTCAATCCTTTCGACGAATTGTCCTATTACGAATTGGCCTATTGCACAAATTGACAGGCGACGAGTTCGCCGTCGACCAGTTGGCATTCGACAAGTTGGCCGGATCCCAACGGAGGGCATTGATGGCGACTGTTTGTGATTCGTGTTTCAGTTGATTGGGGGGGGGGGGGGGGGGAGCTAGGCACAGTCATTGTATGTTTTCCAGTGCCTGTGATAGATTGTCCGGTTCGGGATCCTTCCGGGTGCGTTGGTGACGACCAGTGGCGTGGCGAGAAAATATTTTTTGGGGGGTGTTTCAAGGTGCTGGTGCAATCGCCCACACAATAATATATATATATATATATAAGTAACATTTCAGTGCGTGTTCTTACACCCGAACAACCCCCCCCCCCCCCCCCCTGGCTACGCGCCAGGTGACGACATTGTGTTTCTGTTTTCTATTTTGGACCCGGTGTAAATGGTGAAGATGAAAACATCTAGGGTACGCATCACTTTGGTTCTGGTGTATTGTTTGCGGTTCAAAAACCGTCCGTTCTGGTGGTGGCGACGTTCTGGGGAAGGGCATATAAGGCGTAGAGACAATAAAGTTTGCATCTGAGTTAGAAACGTTGTCTGTCTCCTTTTTCTTCTTCACGAGTGTTCCGGTTTTCTAACCATAGTCTCAGGCTTTCAGGTTTCAGCCATCAGGTATAACTTACACCAGCTCGCCTGCGCATTGACCGTTTTTTTTATTGATTACTCGTAATCAATATTTTATTGTAACTTTTAACGCTGTAAGTACTTTTTTCCTCAGTAACGTTCGCGGTAATTCAATTACATTTTTTGTGATCAATTACAAGCAATCCATGATGTGCTTCCGTAAGAGCTAGAATTATTTAATTGAGTTTTTTTTTACGTCAAGCATCGCTCTGTCTGCCCGTGTATCATTCGCCTATGTTGCACAAACGTTGGAGACTTCAATTTAGCCCTAAACAAAGAAAACTAAAACGAGATACCAGATGGATTAGAATGTTGCGCGCCCCGCGACGTTTCTACTGTCGGGCTGTCGAGAGAGCCACGTTTTCTGCGTACGTGTTGTTGCGGTCCGGGTTTGCCGCGGCATAGACGACGGTGTTCTATCGGCGCACGGACCAACGAAATCATAGATGTGCGTTTTCTGTTACAGATGTACCCACGCATAAACGACAGCATCCATTCTACAGTTCAGTTTCTCAAGGAGGCTGCTGAAAAGGACACAGAAATGGACATAAGGACGTGAGTCTGGAACTCCACATCGGCACTCCTGCAAGAAAATATTCGTGTCACGGCTACATTGTGCCGCCATTTTCTTTGTTCCTACATCTGCTTCGTCGAACTATACTCCGTTTCACTTTAGAACCAACCGCAGAGGATGCTATGAGCCATCGCAGCCAATCCGAGGCCGTGCGAGTGTCACGCGACCTTGGAGAGGGGGCACAGCGACGCACCGAGAGCGTATCACGTGCTACGTTCACAGAGCTGGATTGGTGGCGATCGCTCGTAGCGTCGGAGTATAGACTGCATGCAATGGAAAAAAGAAAGAAATGTCACTCACTACTTGCATCATGCAGCATGGAGTATATACCTTTCATCTTAACCCTCTGACCTTGCGCACCGAAATTGTTTATGGCTAGGGTTTCGTGGAGTTTTTTGTGTGCGTCAACAAAAACTGAGGCCCCGAATTGGATGCGAACTCGCTTCATACTATGCAAAACCTTATACGTCTCATCACTTGGATTTGTATTTTCAGTAGAGTAGCGATCAACAGGCACCCTTTTCAAGATCAGTAGTGTCTCCGGGAAGGCAATAAAAGCTCCTCAAAAATTTGTCACTGTGCGACCCGCGTCGGTCATGTCTGCGCTCGCATCGCCCTCTCTCTGTTGTCATTCCAAGCGCGTGCGTGCGTAGTTTCTTTTCCTTCCGCTCTCCCGGGGTAGCGCTCCCGTCTCGCGTGTCTAGTTTCCTCCGGCTCCTCGGGGCTGGACTGTTTCGTCCCCTAAACAGCTTCGCTGGTCATCCACATTCACAGAGGGGAATGGCTCATGATTATTCTCTAGCTTTCTATTCAATTCTTTATGCGGAATTTGTTTTTCCGCAAATTAAGGGTAAATTTCTGGTTTATAACTTGTCCATTCTTTTTCGGCGTTTTTATGTGTGACACGCGAAAAAAAAATGGGAAAGACATGTGCGTGACCCACATATTTTTGTAATGGGATATTCAAACAGGTGGGGCTTTTTGAAGTTATAGCCTTTGCTGTCCCGGATGTGGTGGTTTTCTTCCGATTCCCGCACGCTTTGGCACGTTCTTTTCTTTTTTTTTTCCGGAGGGGGGTGGGGGGGCGGACTTTTCTTTCGCTTGCGTCGATGGACGAGGCACGGAGCGTCCTCATCACGTGATCCAGATCGAAAAGGGCAGGGGTGGGCATTGATCCCAGGATCCTTAGTTCTGCAGCGCGAGCCTCCGCTCCAGTAGTGGCTCGTGTCCAATCGCGGCAATGCCGATCCCTGACAAAAAAATTGGGTTGTGTATATGTTTATACAGCCTAGAACTTGGTCTGCCTCAATGGGCGACGAGTCTCCCAGCTGTAAATGAGCAATTAAGCCAGTGCAGTACAACATGTGGAACCCTGTGTGTGTCCTGTGCTTTGCCAACCCTATCGCATGGCTATGATAAACATTGGCGGTATATCATAGGCTTCCGATCACGTGACCGCTTGTTCTGGCTGCAAGTCGCGAAAACGCTGCATGTTTTTCATTCGACTTTTTTTTTTTTTGCGACTACTATTGTACGAGAAAAACAAACCGCGTGTTTCAAAAGATATAAACGGCAGGGATTCGTACTAAATGGTATTTACGTAAAGCAGAAAAATGTTTGCACCGCCCCTTTAATATATGTTGCACCAGAACCAGCTTCTTTTCGCACTAACTTTTAGTTCGTTAAACCTGTAGACAAATAGTTCTTCCCCGGAAGACTTCGGTTCTCTCCCGATTGTAGTTAAACCGTCTCAGAAAGATTGGTGTTTAGAGTTTTTATCGGTATTGACTCCGTAAGTGTGACGTAATGGGCCCAAACAAACCGTTGCTAGGGTCGTTGTTATGGACAGATACATGTGGCTAAGTTTCGCTACGAAAACCCGACTGTTCAAAAATAAAGGGGTAGTATTTAAACTTCTAAAAATCACAGATATAAAAAGCTTAATTGTCATATATGTTTTGACAGAAGTGTGCCGGTATTCGCTTGTTTCTGAGATATTGACGACTGCAACTTCCGGTCCTCAGTATGCCCGCAGCAGGCGACGAATGTAAGTATTATGCCGTCTGCCACAGGCCAACTGGCCAAGCCGGCGCCGTCGTTTGAATTGTGTGAATAAAGACGATATTTTGATATTGCATTTGTTTGAAATTTAATGAGTTTCAGACACTTATAAAAATTTATAGTGAGGCGCGATGCAAAATATGGTTTATCTAAATTGCGGGCGTCGATCGAGATGATCGTCTGCTAAAAGATCGCATTGCACCCTTGCGAAAAGCACTTCAGGCGATCGGCTGAGATCCCAAATTTTGTTTGCGTACTCGCTCTATGGAAGGGTCCTTCGTACCTGGTTGTAACCATCGCGTGGAGAAACATTCTTGCGGTTTCTTCGGGTTTCCGCAAGACCTCAAAGCGCGAAAGAACTGGATAAAAACATAAGGTGAGTACATGTAGCACTGGCGGACAGTTGCCTTAATGTAAAACAGGGCCAAACCAACCGAGAGCACGTGAAACCCATCCTCTCTGTTCGGTCATAATGTCTTAAAATATGGCACTATATTTATATATGATTACTATAGTATTGATAAAGTAGTTGCATGCAAGTAGTAGTGAGAGCAAGATCCAGCTCAAACTTGCAGTGATCTTACGCTGTTATGGTAAAACAGCGTTGAGAAGTATTCCAGTGTCCCTGCGCTATCCGCTTATTTTGTTTATTCTTATATATCTTCCTTTGGTGATGTTTTTTTTTCATTGTGCTCTTCATATGTTCCCCTGTTTGGTCTAGCTTTTTAATTTAGTATCTAGTACAACCCTCAATAATAATAATAATAATAATAATAATAATAAACGACTTACGTCGACGGCGTACGGTTTGTTTCTCATGCTGGCCTGCACTACGCCGGTAATGCACTTCAGGTCGTCGCCGTAACTGATCTGCATGACGTGGTCTGATTTTACGACATTTTCACCCCTCTGAACTAAGCTGGGTTGCTCACAAAAAAAAAAAAGAAAAAAAAAACGCACATTGCGAAGGTTTTTACGGCCATGGCGATGCACTTCTTTCTGTCGCTCGTTTACCGACGCAATTCAATGAAGACGCCACCAAAGCAAAGCGGAGTGTTATACTTCAGAAATGGCTTTCATCGCTGCAATACAAAACTGAGACGACAAGAACATCTTCATAATTAGATATGAAGAAGTTAGGTTGCTTACAGAAAATTATCTACTTTTTTGTGAGCCAAATCTAGCCTCATGTGGAGTTTCCATGCACTTGTCCATAGCAACGTCCTTAGCAACAGTTTGTTTGGACCCAGATGCCATGTTGTGATGTAGTCACTTACGGGGTCAATTTACTGAAAATGCGGAACTCTAATTATTTTTTTTTACCTAGTGATTTGTAACTACAAACAGCTAGGAGTTATTCAGTAATTTGTCTCTTAAATCATAAGATTCTTCTTAACGTAGCCCTCCCCAAAAATCTCAAATTTGTGTGCGTCTGTTTGTGCACTCCCTGCTAAATTTAGCGGGGAAGTTGAAGTCATATAACCTCACGTCACGTGACCTCTATACAGACCTGCACTCATTAAAAGTAATCGAGTTGTTTGTAATCTATTACTTTTGAAGTAATTTTGTAGTAGTTTTGATTGCGTTCTTCCGAAAGGCATCGCAAGAGCAATCTGATTACAGTTGGAAGTGCTAAAATTACCTGTTATTGTTACTTTCTTCCCTCCAGTTTTCAATGATGCCCTTGGTTTCTAGAAGTTTCCCACCAGGGAATCTTCGATCCAAATCTTCGACAGGAGGATTGGTTATAAAGACTACTGGATTAAGAAGAAAAGTAATTTGTAATTCTTCGATTCTTTTGCACCAATACACAGTTAAAGATACCCTTTTTCGAACAGGCAGGAGACTTTTGCTTTGAAAATCGGAAGTAGTCGGTGGGGTTGCTTTTTCAAGTAACGGCCAATTTTCGTCTTGAGTAATCAAGTACTCTTATCAAATATTTTAAGCAAGAGTAATTGTAATTGTACTCGATATCTTTTTTGCAAATAACGTGAACAAGACTGCATCAATGTTAATTTAGTCTCCAAGCTAAAGTGACAAAAAAACACCTACGTCACGTGACCAGTAAAACAATCCAGTCTTCCGCTAAATATGCTAAGACTTGGCTGACACGTGAACTATGCAGTGTCAGCCTCCCGGCTAAATCTAGCGGGGAAATGAATACAAATATAGGTTTTCATTCAATCTCCGAAACGACTGTTTAATACCTGTCAAAGAAATTTAAACGATGGTTCCTCAAATACTGCATTTCACGCTTTATCAAATGTAGACTAACAGTCGCTGCCTGATTTTGTTTTTTCTAGCTTGTTCTCGGCCTACGCCCTAGACGCCATTGCGAGATGCGCCTTCGGCACGAAAATGGAGTCGCGTATCGAAGAGGTCAACGATTTCGCCGCCAAAAACAAGTCCTCCATCACGGGTCCTCAGACTGTTTTAGTCGCCATTTCCCGTAAGAGAAACCCGCTTTCACTAGGACGAAAAACTTGGTGTCTGTAGGATGCATGGTGTATTCGGATGGCGGAGTTTTTCTCCGAAGAGAGGACCAAATGTCATTGAGGTTTGACGTCACGTGCGCCGCGTCACGGATGTTTGCTAATCCCACGAGCCTGCTAGGAACTGCGGAAAATCTGCGGCCGGGCAGGTCTACAGTATATCCGTCATTCACCTCCCTTTGGGAAAGGATTGCGGTTAGCAGCATTGAGCTAGGCACGAAAAAAAAGGGGGGGGGGGGGGGAAAGCGGAGGGACTGCCTCCTCCCGCCACTGGTTCATGACAAGGCAGACTCGCCGACTCAACTAAAGGAATTTTCTGCATTGGCTCCATGCTCTCACGGCCTGACCTCCTCCAAGGTTTATGACGTACTCGGTTTCGCCCACTGAGAAAGATCTGTCGTGCGAATCACCCATAAGCTTCAGTCGCACCGCTCATATATCATACAAAAAAGAGCGTTCGCTGCAGATATGGCGGAATAATTATCTGCGAACACGCATCACGCATTTTCAAAGCATGTTGGCTTCGTATATCCTTATATTTGAAACAAGTCTTCAGGAAGCTTTTTCTTTTATGACCAGTGTCACAAGGTTGTTATACAAGGATGAAAAACGCCTAGACGGTGGCTGCAGACTATTTCGTACGATGAACTAGCAATAGGGAGCTTTTGGAAACCGTCTTTGCACATCCGATGCGGTACGAAGGACTCTCTGGTACGCACTGCGCATATGTCAGACTTCCGCGGTGGCAAAGGCACCGTTCGTACCAAAAGGGCTTATTGTACTGTACCCGATATGCAAAGACGGTTGCCTAAAACTCTCTAATCCGACTGCTGACTAAGCGCGGGCATTCGACAACTCTTTTTGTCCGTCTTTTATGCGCGCTGTTTTTTTTTTTTTTTTGTTTTTTTTTTGTCATTTTAACAATTAACCTACGTGACCACCTCGCTGCCGCTTTAATTTATTTACTACCTGGTTTTCTTCGAGAACTTCTACCTATCACCGCTTCCTGTTTTACCCGTTTCAGTGCTGTTCCCCGGTCTGGTGAAGCTTTTGAAGCTAGATATCTTCAAGTCCGATTTGCTGACGTATTTCAAGACCCTCTCGGAGACTATCATGGAGGAGCGAAAACACAAAGAAAACGTGAGATATACGTCTTTTTTTTATTTATACGTCCGAGGGTATTGTTTGTGATTCGACGTCCTTTTAAACTTCCCGTTTAAAAACTTACGTTTGCTTACCACCGAGCTCTTGTGATACCTTACGAGGAGAGATCACACTGGCACGGCTGACGCTCTCTCCGCGCTGTACGGCTAGCGGGAAAACCCACTTCCCTTTCCCCTTGCCAAAAAAGAAGAGAAAAGGGTATCTTCTTCCCTCTCCTCACGCCAAGAGGGGAGATAAGGGCTTTTTCCTAGCGGCAACGACAGCCATCGAGCTCGAAATTTCTGCGAAGTGCCGCCTGTAAAGCTACTGCTTTAATGCGACTTTAAAATGGCGTTGAGTGGAATGCAACGAGCGTTTCTTAAAATTCTTTGACGGTTACACTTCGGTAAGGTGCGGGCACACTTTTCGGCATTGCCCTTCGCCTCCCACATTCCACCTGCCCCGTAGCTGCGCCTGTCCGCATCGCCTGATTTCGCGTGACCTGGATCCCGAGACAGCGTCACACTGCATATTCATATTACAAAATACATTCTACAGACACAAGTCACCTCAATATCCGGGGTTCGAATGCCGCGTGCCAAGTTTCCTCCCTGAACACATTACCATGCGGCATTAGGAGCACGGATCTCGCAGTGACTCTCTTTCGAATCTGTCCGCACTGCAGACTGTCTTTTGTATGATGTATAAGCAGTGCGAGCCCGGCTTAACTGTCGGCCAATCGGAAGGGTCGCGTCGCCTGAATGGGCGCTGCGGGAAGAGGACCCAGCTGAAAACGAGGACGAGCGGCAGCTGCTGACTTTCTCTTAACCGGACCACCGATCGAGAAGGGCATACCTGGCTGTTGGCGTAGACTCACGGAGACATCGGCCCTGGGGCACCTCCAGGGGTGCCGGCGCTGTCCGCCAGAAGCCTTACTACCAGGACGACCGAAAATGGACCGTCCGGTGACACCGGATCCCCGCCGAACTAAATCACTGAATCCTGGGAAAGTAGCGCCAAGTTCCCCCGTATAGTCGCCATCTTGGTCTGCGAAATGAGTAATTTCTCCTTGGCCCCTCCGTTCTTGGTGAGCCGATCTAAATTCGCTGGGGACGGGTAGCTTTAAGGCTGGTTCTCACATGCACGTTCAACCTCCGGTTCTCACATGCAGAGAAGCGCTGATGTAGCGCTGCTCACGTGTCACCTGCTACCGTATTTACTCGAGTAATGGCCGCAGTATTTATGAACAACGCCCTTGCGCCTACTTTTCCGCAAAGCACATATAAAGCCAATCATCGCGTTCCGCATAATAAATAACATAACGAATAACTGGATCGGGAACACGATTCTCCATACAAATGCAATCTTCACAAATTGTATCTTAACGCGAAGACGTTATCTTGGTCGTATAAACCGCTGGATTCATCCTGTCGATCGCTGTGATTTGCAATCCGCGTGCTCCGCGGAAAAGCGAACTCTCAGTTTTTCTTCCTAAAGAAGGCGGCTATTACTCGAGTAAATACGGTACCTATCATATGAGGAAGAGTTTTGACGGTGCGATACAATGCTGGTGAGCGCTCCCGTCAGCACGCGCTTAGCGCGAAGTCTGCGCTATGCTTGTAAAACTCCGCTGCATGTGTGAACAGGCTTTTATGGAGACGTTCCTTGTATACCAGGATTTTGCTATCAACGCACCGGCAAAGACAAGCGTACATTTTCGTACCACCACCCTCGCTATGCCGGTGCTTGGAGGCACTGAAAAATAATTTTACTGCTTTGAAATACGTAAGAAGTACGATATAATTGTAAGAGTATCGTGTAGATGGGTGTGATCAATGAGATGATTGCATACACAGAGACAAAGACGCTTATATTTGCGAGGAACGCTTCCACTGCGATAAGGCTCCATGGTGACCTTGGCGCGACTGGTTTAGAACGACCCTCTGGAAGCTTCGAAGATTCGAATGGACCAAAATGGCGAGTTCCATGTTAACGTAGACAAGTTAGCCGCCGTGCGAGGTTTTAGTCGTCTGTATGTTAAATATACGCTTGTTTCTGGCAAGCAGGCAGGGAAGGCAATTGCGCTACTTTCCCGAATTCCAGTGACTTTACGCCGAACTACCGCTACCCAAGCCCCCACAGGACCATGCGGCGAGCGAATAAACACTTCCGTGAGAGCTTCTATGCGACGTGATTTAATACAGATGCGATCGATCGGGTACGTAGAAGTTTCCACAAGGGTAAAAAAAGGGGAAATAGACGGAAACTCCCACTGTTCCAAGGCTACCGGATAGACGGCGCCAGTTTGTCCTCTCATCGTCATCGTCGTCGTCGTCGTAGCTGGCCATACAGCAGTCTGCCCAGCTACGGGGCTGAAGGTAGCCTCCAACGACACAAAAAGGCTTGTTGCAGACCCGAAGAGTAGACTGGAGTACTAGTGGCAGAAGATCCACCTCAGGGAGCATTAAGGCACCTATGCTCTCAGGCTTGGGCACAAACCTTATTTGAGTCCTCCCAATTCAAAGGGAAGTAGCCGCAACATCATCATCATCGTCGTCGTCGTCGTCGTCGTCGTCGTTGTAAGAATTGCTAAGAGGTTTCAAGGCACTCAGTCGCAAGAAGTCGCAAGTTTGTGAATCAGCCTTTGCACTCTTATAAGTGCAGACCGTCTACTTCGCTGCAAAGCACTTGGGAGGGAGCTGCGCGTATGGCGGGGCTGAAAATATCTTCAGACCTAAAAATCAGGTCTGCGCTGTGGCACTGAGGATGATGCTACGTAATTGGCATGATTGTGGATCCCCGGATAGAAAAAAAAAACAAATAGAAACTTCCGCGGAAAAAAAGAAGATAGAGGGGGCCAAGGAAACGAAAAGGGTGAACACATCTTCGGCTAGGCACCGAAGCAAGACTACCCGTAAACGGCCACGTTCCCGGCCGAGAAGAGTACGGACCTCCGAGGTATCTTCGGCCAAGAACCCAAGAGCGAGCGATGAAAGCGATATGGGTAACGAGCGATTAATCGCGGCAGGGAAAGGGTTAGGTTTTCAGGAAGTGAAGTTGGAGAACTAGGTCGAAAAAGAAAAGGCTAGATCGCGAGAGCAAAGATTACTGGCGAGACAAGAACAGGACGAGGAGTGCATTCGACTGCCGAAAGAACGCGAAATTCCCCAGTTCAGGCTGGCAATACAGGACAGAGAGGCGTCTCTCCATGGGATAGTTCGGCATATTGGCAAAGGAGAAGTTGTAAATATGGCTACATCAACCAGAGAGATTTAGCACAGTAATCCTCAGAAGTGGATACCTCAGTTCAAATAGGAACGATATTACTTGGACGCGTAATTGTCATGGTTTGAACGTACAGCAGCAGGAATGGTGGGGTCTCAGGAGTAATGGGCGACGACCCCGAGTTTGTGCCTTCCCGTGGTAGCGCTGACAGTAATGGGCCGGTTGTGGCCAGCATACGCATTAGATTATGCGCGAGTGAAAGTTGCACTGCTTCAGAGGTTTTGCTACACCAAAAAAATGATACAGGGAGCGCTATAGAGAGGCAACACCTGAAGAGAGAGAGAAAAAGACAAGACGCCAGTTTACAACCCCTCTGGTTGGGTATTTCAATAGATGGATCGAAATGGAAGACGTACAGCATACATTCAAAGCTCTCCGTGATCGAATTTTAGTCATGCACTTTCTTCTTACTTGCTCTAGTCAGTTGACCGCATTTCTCCGGGAACTAGAATTCCAAAGCTTGGATGAGGTAGCGTCAGAAGCAGACATATTTCTAGAGGCTCAAGGCAAGGCTACCATGAGTAAATCGGAGATCGAGGAGTCGGGTAAATAACCTAGTGTGTCGGTGCTGGACACACTGGGCACACTGGACACACTTTTAATGTACCGGGTACGTGGTGGTCGAGCGAAGCTTCAGAGTCACGCTGTCGCAAAGGAAATCAGCTTTTAAATTTTGTTCACTACAACGATCTTTACCGCGGCGAAGTTCCTTCAAACGTATGTGGAAACGCTCTGGACGTTCTTTTCACTAATCTTGAAACTTACAATATTGCAATAGTGAGCAATCCCATTGTTTCCGCCGATATATGGCATGTTCCATTTTCCGCTAAGGTAGACGTGCTAGTCTCGTCCGTGAAACACAAAAACACATATCGGTTTGATTACGCCAACGGCTCATATCTTGACTTTAATCTTTCCCTTGCTGCGTACGCGTGAAACGACGTCCTTCGTTTACACTCGATTGACGAGGCGGTCACTGCTTTGACCAATATTTTGATGACCGGCATGCACAGCTTTATACCTCGTAATCAAACTGATCGATCAAACAGATATCCCCCCTGGTTCTCTCGCGAATTAAAACGCGTAATGCGCAAAAAGTTACATTTGCACCGTCTTTACCGCACTACTAACAGCAACGAAGTTTATGACAGGTTTAAAATATGCCGAGCCACGGTTAAAGAACTGTATAAGCGCGATAAAGAGGCTTATCGTAGACAAGTCGAAGGAAGTGTTTCCAAGCGTCCCCAGGATTTTTGGCGATTGGTTAAAAAGCAGACTCGAGATAGGTCGAGTCCTGCTTCACTTATGATTGACGGAGTATATTCTTCTGATCCTGATAAGATATGCAATCAATTCGCAAAGTTTTTCCTGTCCACCTATTTATCAGTCAGTGTCGAAAACACAGAGATTTTACTAACTACTCATAACCATTTACCTCCTCCAACAATTGACCTTGCCGACGTTGTTTGGGCAACTCATCAGCTCCCATTTAAAAAATCTTGGGGCCTTGATGGCATACCAAATTTTATAGTTAAGGGGTGTGTCGACATACTGGCTCCCAATCTACACCACATATTTTCTATGTCGCTGAAGCAGTCTATCTTTCCGACCGCCTGGAAAAAGGGCTTGGTAATCCCTCTTCCTAAATCAGGCACCTCAACGAATATCGCAAACTATAGACCGATATCATTGCTTTCCACATTTTCGAAGGTATTCGAAAAAATCATTTATAGGCATCTAACACACTGTTTTAAGAGCTTAATACCCGAAGTTCAACATGTTTTTTCGAGCGGCAGGTCTGTTGAAAAAAATCTTGCGTGTTTTTTAAATGATGTTGCCCCAAGAGTCTGTTCTCGAGAGCAAGTTGACACAGTGTATTTTGACTGAGCAAGGCATTTGATCGTGTAAACCACAAGTTACTGTTACACAAACTTTCTGTTTCTGGTCTCAGCGACGAGTACTGTTTTTGGTTTGAAAGTTATCTTTCTGCAAGAGAAAACTGTGTCGGCTACGTAAATGTTACGTCTTGTTTTTTTCCTGTGCCATCTGGTGTACCCCAGGGTTCCAATCTGGGACCTCTTCTTTTTAATATATTTGTTAAAGATGTCCAAGACATCATTCGCCATTCGAGCCTCTTGCAGTTCGCTGATGACCTCAAGATCTATAAAAATATTTCATCATTAAATGATTGTGCTCTACTGCAGGAAGATATCAACGCCATCTGTCTATGGTGTAAAGATAACGGGCTTGATCTTAACATTGGAAAAACAACTGTAATATCTCTCACGCGTAAGACTAATTCAACTCCCTTTCTGTACTACTTAGAAAATTCGTCGATTACTCGAGTTACGATTGTGAAAGATCTGGGAGTGATGCTAGACTCCAAACTTAACTTTAACTCACACGCGACATACGTTGTGAGCTCTTGTTTCCGTCTTCTCGGTGCAATTTCAATATTTAGTAAGTGTTTTTCAAGTGTTTACCTTTTCTACGTACTTTACCGAATCACAGTTCTTCCAAAACATGACTTCTGCACTGTGATTTGGAACAGCCTTAGTGCTACAGCTTCCAATAATGTGGAACGCGTACAGAAAATATTTGCCAGAACTTATCATTTTAGATTTACCATTTACCATTTACCAACTTACCATTCTTAACTCTGTTAACCAATTTTCTTCAAGGTCCATCCGATCGTAGCTTGTTTTCATCAATGGTATGCAGAGTACCCAACGTTTCCTCAGAAGCGGGAGTTCCACAGGGTTCTTCTTTCACCATTAATTATCAATTTTTATTTCAATGACATGAGTTTATCTGTTTCAAACTGTGCCCTTTATCAATACACGGACGATATTATTTTACTGACGAGCTATCTCTTGTATGCAAGAGCAATGGGTTTGCTCGAAGACTGTACCTCAGAGCTAATGAACTGTGTTGCCATTAATCTCATTCTTATGAATGTTTCAAGAACTAAGCTCGTCAGTTTTCACAACCCCCTGAAAGTTGTTAACCTAAATGCTCCTCTCCTGCTGCACACGTCTCCCTGTGTACCTAGGAATCACGTACGATTCGGATCTTTCCTGGAACTCACACTTATCAGAACTTGATTCAAAATTAAGAGACGTTTCCTGCTTATTATACCATATCAAGACTTTTCTGCCTTTTAATCTCAGGAGGCTCAGAACTCGCTCATTAGTTTACAGTACACTCCGCTACGGCGTAACAGTATTCTCCAAATGCTCTGGATTGTGACAGGCCAAGATAAATACAATGCAAAAGGAATCTTATGGAATGTTCAGTGTAAACCTGCATCCTCTGATCGCGATTTTTATAAGACTTTGTCCATGCCAAATCTACGATCTTTGTTTCTTGAATCAGTCGTGCGTGGGCACTACTCGAAGGATGATTTTAAATCTCTTCGTCCCAATATGAGACAATTCCGAAAAATATAGAAGTCCCTCTTTCCCGCTTGCTATGCACTCTTGGTAATAACATGCGGTCGCTCTATATGGCCGCAAATTTTTGAATCCCTGCCTTCCAGTTTATGTGACATTACCTCAAGGAAAAAGCTCAGAAAAGCGCTTCGACAGTTTGATATGAACGACGGGCCCTTGTGATAGCCTCATAATTCGTTTTATTGCTAGCATTTTTTAAACAATTGCGTTTTTGTACGTTTTTTGTTGTTCGTGATTTTTCTTATTGTGTTGCAACAAAGGAAGTTATTTACATCCTCCGTGCCTCCAGAACTGGCAAGATGTTGTGCTACCTTCAATGATGAAAGGTGACGCTAGTGCCTTGTGTGTATGTTTTATAATTTCTTGATATAAACAATATTTTTATATATGTATTGGGAGCGTCAGTCTGCAATTGCAACTGTGTATAATAGCTGGTGATAGTTTATTTATTTTTCTTATCAAGAATTTTTTTTTATTTATGCAACTACAGTGCTGGTTTTGCCGCACAAGCCCATGATGGCTTTGGCGAATTCTGCACTCTGTCTTGAATATGCTCATTCTTCACAAGTAAAAATAATAATAATAATAATAATAATAATAATAATAATAATAATAATAATAATAATAATAATATTAATATTGTTATTATTATTATTATTATTATTATTATTATTATTATTATTATTATTATTATTATTATTATTATTATTATTATCATCACTGCTACTGCTACTACTATTACTACTATTACTACTACTACTAGTCCGGGGATGCAACGCTCCCGCCCGCTGGAAGACTACGGACCTCCGGAGCATGCATCTTCGGCCAAGCACCTAGAAGGTGCGGCATAAATCGTAAAAGCACGCAGCCCAAGCAAAGGTCGTGAGTGGCAGCTCAGCGGGGACTGGTTTTGGCGGAACTTGACTGACATGCCTGATTAGCTATTCTAGCCTTTAGTCAAGTGGTTATAAGCCATCAAGTTTTTTTTTCTGCGCTTTCTCTTGATTTCTTGTGGGAAAACATGTACTATAAACCTATTCTCTTTTACACTCTTTTGTCTTGCCTCCACTGAATTGGCGCGTTGTTCGTGATGAATGTGACAGTCATGCTCGGGTATGTGGCACCATGCTCGCCACTCGACGAACTCTCTCCGCGGATCACACAGACTGCATCTCCCAAGTACTTTGAGGGATAAGTAGACGCTCCAGATTTCATAGTCTCGCGTATTCGACATACGCCAACACGCGGCCATGGCGTCACGCCGCTGCGTTGGCGCCTCTATTGGGAGGGCGAATGCGCAGACGGTCCACTTTAGACGAATTTGTTTCCTGCCTGTGCAACGTGCCCACAGTTTCTGTAGGTCTGTTTGTAAACAGCGCGTTGTTCTATAGATTGTGCACTATAGTCACTGACTGCCCGAGAAACTCTGGGCGTGGCTTGATTGCTTGCCTTGTTTGGCGATCCGTTCTTCGGGGTTCTTATTGGCCGCAAGGCGATCATAACCTCCTCTGGGTATCGCCACACCCCGCGTGAGTGACCATACTGTAGGAGTGCGGCCCGGTGGTTTCGTATACCTGTACCCAATTTGCAGAGACAAGATGACTTCTTGCAACTCATGATGGACGTGCAAGAAGAGAGCAGTTCTGCGGGCGCCGATACCTCTCTCCAAGCTGACCACAAACTTTTCAATCCAGACTCCGGCTCCAAAGCCATTTTCAAGGAGAGGAAAGGTTTGTGTTTGACACCGGCGACTCGTTCATTTCATTCCAAAGCAAAAAACACCCGTTACTAAAGTGCGCGCTACCTAGTATAGTTGCTGCGCCAGTTGTTTGAATTTGCCATCGGTGTTTGGGCGCCTAATCTGGGTGTGTGTTAAGAACGAGGGATGCCTCAGCATTCAGCGAGGACTCGGATGAAATCCCACACTTCTTGCCCAAGAAATGGCGACCACAAATGTTGCTTCCCGATTGAAAAATATATGAACAGAGTCCTGTGGGGCAGTCAATAATTTTTAATGAACAGCCGACTGTACCCTGCCTCTATACGTAAAGCATCTCTGATCGGCTGAGCTCAGTCTGACTGACAGTCAGACTGCGCCTATTGGTCTTCTGGTAGCAAACGGCAGCCGCGAAATGCCGTCAAGATTCCTTGGTGTCGACCCTGACTGAACACCGAATGTCTCTGTCTGCACGTCAGGAATAATTTACGTGCAGACAGACGAACGGTCAGAGGACAAACGGTTTCGTAGTACGAGCGTACGACTTTGCACCCAGAACTCAAACAGTATTATTTCAGAAAAAACTTTTCCGCACGCACGAGCAAACGGTTTCGGGACACGAGCCAAACCGCTAGTATACGAGATAATAGAAGCGGGGTTTTCGGCAACCCTGGGCAGAAACCAGGCTTACCGAGCCAACGCTTTCGGTCGCGAAGGGTTTGTCACTCGTCGTCGCTGCACCCGCTCATCCTGTAGATCATATATCTGTGCTCTATGCACTTTTAGGGCAGTTCGTCCTCAAATCAACGCAGTTCGTCGTGAGTGTGGATTACATTAGGAACTTCGACAAACGATTTGAGGACTGCAAATTATACGAAGCGTACTGGGCCGGGGATGCGCAAAACGAAAGAAGGCTTGGACGATGCAAAAATAACCTACATAGCAGATGAGTATAACTTTAGTACAACAACTAACGTATGTAAGCTGCGCGTGAAATACATTAGACGTTTGCATATAGACCAGAAGCATTCTTCAGAGCGGTGCGCTCGTGGTCGGAACCTCATGCTACGATACTCACTGCAGAGTACCCGCGCTTTGTCCAAATGTTTAAGTTTATAGCACTGGCGTAGGCTACATTCCATCAGTGGCAGTCGGACGTCCTCTGATGGACCATCATGGTGCGTTCTACCAGCGGACATGCCGACCGGCAGTCATTGCCCCAAATTAAGTACGTGATGGTATTTCCAATATGATAAATGGGCGTTTGAAACGGGTCCGCTGTCCCTTCGCCATTTGCATTTTTTTTTAAATATAGTCATATTCTGAGCGAATTCATTTTCAAGAACCCCTTTATTCTTCGCCGTGGTTGACTTTCTCTGTGTTCTCCAGGAAAGTGCAATCACATACTTTCTTTAGAGCGTATGTGCTTATAGGACGCCAGGTGGAGTGACTGGGGAATAAAGTGCCGCCGCCTCTTCCATGTTTCAGCCTTGACTAAAAGCGAGGCTCTTGCCCAGTGCATCCTGTTCCTTCTCGCCGGCCGTGACACGTCCGCGGCGTTGCTGGCGCATGCCGTCTACTTGCTCGCCCTGCACCCAGATGCCCAGGCTAAGCTGAGGAAAGAGGCGGACGAGTGCTTCGAGAAACACGTAAGAAAATCGGGGTGGGGGCGTTGTGCCAATATTCCATAGAAGACAAGGCCTTCGCACTACGTCATCGTTAGTGGACCACCGACCCGCCCCAGGGGGCAAACACTCTGAGGCTCGACGAGAGTAGGCCACAAAGTGGCAGACGTGCTCGTCATATCGTCGCCGCGTGTTAGCATTGCGGTCGTTGTGAGGCGCCGCAAGACGTGTTTGCAGCGACACTGATGCGAGCTAGACGGTGCTGCAGGAATCAATTACAATGATGAGTTTTAGGTGGGAAAGAGCGGACCTAGTCTTCTAGGTGGTACTGGGTACACGCCCTAAATAGAGCCCCTTTCAAAATTGAGTCTAACAACTTTGGTCACTGTCATCATCTCAGTGCATTGAAGGTGTGTCAAAGTAATGGGAGCCTTTTTGTTTCTGGTGAAGAGACAAGTTAGAGACACTATCAAGCGTAGGATACTTAAAAACTGTACGTTCCAGGCCTCGGTACGACAGGAGGCACGAATGAGATAAAACGGCTTCCTAAGCGTTTATTTCGTAGTCTAGTCCAGTCATTATTTGTGGGCACATGTTCGGTTCTTAGGCCTTTCGATGACGCTATTTTAGTCGAGCGGTTTATTGGTCGCCGCCTTGTACTGGGGAGGACCTAGTGAAGAACCAGATCACATCTGCCATTGGCATGCGAAAGTCATGGTGCTACCTGCAATACAGTTCCGCGACCGCCAATCATTTGTCCCAAAATGAAACTGCTGTTTGAGCCAACAGGTGGCACTGAAATTTGAAAAGGATCTGTCTATTAAAGGATACATGCAAAGAAAAAAAACATTTTTTTTAAACAGCTTAGATGGAAAAAGAATGTCATAAAACAATATTACAACGGAGAAAAAAAATCTTTAGAGCTATATTCACGACGCTATACGAATACGTAGTTGGCGCCCGCCGGCTCTGCGAAAAAGTGGCCCTTATTTATCACGTGACTGGCCCTTATTTATAACGTGGTGCTTGTGCTCTTTCGAAAGCTTCGTACGGCGTCTAAAAGTAACTTATTCGTCTTTGTTTGAAGTATAACAAAAAACTAAGATTAATAGGTAACTTTTAGAGCCCAAAGGAAACTCCTGAAAAAGCGCAAGCAGACGTGATAGACCTGTGCGCCGGTCAGACGACGGCGGCGGCGCCCCGAAGCAGACGAACCTGTGCGGCGGCGGCGATGGCGGCGTGTAGAAACGCGTTCAAGCGCCGTTCGCACAACGCTCTGCGTGCGGTGGCAGCGTGATTTGCGGCGGCGGCGACGCAGCGCGGCGGCGCGCGGGCCTGCTACGTGACTAGCGGCGGCTCCCGCGGACGCCAACTACAAATTTGTATAGCGCCGTAAATATAGCTCTAAAAATTTTTTTCTTCGTTGTAAAATCGTTTTATGACATCCTTTTTCCGTCTAAGCTGTTTAAAAAAAAATGTTTTTTTTTTTTCCTTTGCATGTGTCCTTTAAGTTCTAACAGCATGTTGGGTCGGTCTATAATGTTACCGATTAATACTTGGAAATTACAAAAAAAAAATAACGCGTCAAAATAAACGCGAATATACTTTTTATGTCTGGGCGATAAAATCGCTGGAGTTTTCGTAACTGATCTTTTCAAGAAAGTCGGAACATAAAATATTTACACAAATTTTAATTTACTAGATAAGAACGAAAATAGGGTACACAGACTTCTGATGTAAATCAGCAAGACGACCGTGGTAACTGGGTAACGTATTTCTGCTGTTGCTGGTCGAAAGCAAATTTCGGTCAAAAGTTTTCGATCATTGTTAAAAGGATAATCTTTAAGGTATCAAGGTTTTACAGAGGCAGAAATCACCATCGTGATGCTTCCAGCTAAAAGAAAAAAGAAAAATCACCATGATCGCGTTTATGGCTAACGATGCGTAGTGCACCCAAGAGATACCACGCGAATTAGGAGGACTGCACCCCCCCCCCCCCCCCCCCCCCCCCGCCTTCTAAAACGTCATGTTTGTTCAACCGCCATTAAGCTCACACGAAGCGTTCAGATCACATTTTTAAAATCAACCCCATATACGCACACACATTAACATGTTCGAAAATCGCCTCTTCTCCTTGCCGGTTCGGACTGGAACAGCATTCCCAGAAACATTGCCTCTATCAGCGGTTGTTAAAGGGCAACTCCGGCCAAACTCAAAATGAAATAAATTACTGGTATCGCTGAAGTGACACTAAATACGACCCCAGCCAAAATATTACGTCCAGTGGGACGCCGCATTCTTAACTAATGCCGATAATAAAATTGCGACCTGCCGCGAGCCGCTTCCCCTTAGCGGGCGGCCAGCGGGTTGCCGATCGCTAAAGCAACATTTGGCCGTGACGTCAGTGTCGTTCTCTTTTATTCCTCCGGTCCGTGTGTTGCGCGGAGTGCAATTTTTCGAGCCGCTATCACCGCTACTTCGGCTTTGGATTGGCGTGTTTAGCCGTTGCTTTTATCTGTAGCCCGTGTAGCTTCGGTATAGCCTTTCGTTTATTTGGTTTGTGAGGACTCCAAGACTCGTTTTAGCGAGCAACTCGGTGCGCCCAAGACTGCCCAGCTGTTCCTCGAAAGACGCCGAGTGCAACTTGTAGCACTGTTGGCTGCTCAAACAACCCGCTGCGCAACCCGGAGGTGCTTTTTCACAAGTTTCCAACGGACCGGAAATTGGAGAAGGTGTGGGTGAACGCTGTTCGACGAGTGGACTTTGGATTTCGGCTTTTACGCGCCCGAGGAAAAAAGAACGAAACAAAAACAGACGTCTACAGCCCAGCACACGTGTGTTCGGGCGCTGCGGCCCACTCTGGAGAGCCTCAAAGCTTCGTGTCTGGGACTGACCCGCAGCGCGAAAGCGAGAGGGCCCCCAGTACTGTACGTCACTGGCAGCACGGCGTAGAGTAACGCCGCTTCATTCACGGAGCCCCGATGACAATTTAGGCCTAGCGACGAGTACAGAAGGCCGCACACACGGCGACAGCCGCCGAGTACGGCACCGAACGAGTTCACTCTTTTTCCATTCACTAGCTTTTGGTTATACAAGCGACGAGTACGGCATAGCGCACGCACGGCGGCGGCCGCCGAGTACGGTATTGAACGAGTTCACGGTTTTTCCAGTCGCTAGCTTTTGGGTATACGCACTAACTCTTGCTACATATGCTAGATAACTACCACGTATGCAGAATTAAAACAAAATCAGCTTACCTCCTATCTTTAGACGGCTAGCGCAGCAGAGGTAGGTGCCGCTCGGCCTGCGTACTCGTTGAACGAGAACGATCCTGACGTCAAGTTCACATAGCGGCTGATTTTCAGTGTTGCCGGGGCCTTGAGCGGCTAGTTTCGGTTTTGTTGGCCGCGCCTCGAACAAATCTTTGAAGCGTCGATATCTTTAAAACTACGCACAATGACGAGAAAAAGAAAAATTAGACCTTGCAATTCAGGGACGCTGACTGCAGTAAAAACAGTCAGAATCTCAAAATTGAAAGTATGTCTGGAGTTGCCCTTTAATCATTTGAGGCCACCGTAAACGTGGCGCTGCTTGAGTAGATTAAGCTGAATTACCATATTCATATTTTATTTCATACACACAATCTGAATTCTAGTACCTTACTCGATTACTGCCGAAGGTGCCAGTATGACTGCATGCATGTATTGTATTTTTTATATGTGTTGCTTGGTTTTGTTCTTCAAGTTATTGTATTATATTTACTTGATGTTATGCACTTGAGCGCCTTTATTGTAAGTAAATAAAAAAAAATTAACTTCGGACTATCTTTTTTTCATGTTGCTGGAACTTCTAATACGTGGGGAGTTTAACGACAGAAATGTTTTGTGCTTGTTTCTCTGACTAAACCAAGTAAAGCAAAATCATAAGCCCCCTATGTAATATCCTCTCACGAGGGCCTTTAGGAGTAATATGAATAAAAAATAAATATCCGTAGCAGGCATTTTTCGGTGAAACTTTCTAACATTTCCTTTCTTTATCTGGGCAGTTGCTAAAAGTTAACGCTCTCGTCTTACTAATTGTTACAGGGAAAATAAATAGGTCCTTTCCTTTTTCTTAGGGAGAAGAGTTAACAATGGACGTCGTTGGAAAGCTCGAGTATGTTCATGGGGTGGCTTCTGAGGCTCTGAGGATGCTTCCACCTGCCACCAGGTAGGGACGATTTGTTCTTGAAGAATTTCACATTTCAGCCAGCGACTTTACTTTCCACTCAAACATATTGTCCCGAATCGTTTCAAACGCAAGCTCCGTTTACACATGCCCGTTTGCTTAAGTTGCGTTTTATTTTTCAAGCTTACGTCCGTTTACGTGGAGAAACGCGGAGAAATCCACGCTTTGTATGAAGCGTGGAAACCAATTCAAGAAGTACTATAGCCAAGCACGTGGCAAACAAAGAACAGATGTCTTGCTGATTCATGGCGTAACCCAAACAAACGTAAGCATACGCTCCCTTCGTGAATGGGTCTTTACCTACGTTCTACACATAGAATCTGCGTGGTCGCTTTTCTGAAGAACACGAGCACACCCATTCGCTGGAGAAAACGAAAGAATTTCAGTGAATAGAAAACCTCAGAAAACAACGGGCGAAAAAAATGCCACGGCCCTGTGGACAATTTGCGTGAATTTTCGACTCGCCCATACTCACATCACATCGCATTTAGAGATCTATTTGTATTTTGGGCATCGTCGATGACTGAGAACCTTCAATCGTCTCTCCTTCCAGCTTGTCTCTCAGCCGTAGATAAGAAATTCGGCGAAATTCGTAATCTACAGCTGGGTGGCAATTTTCGCCCCTTGAGGCAGACCAAGTTCGGGCCGTATAAACATTAGACATGCTCCCAAAACTTCAATTATTTGCCGCGATTGGCTGCCGTCGTGTTCAGCGGGAAAGTGAACAGTCATTTTTTTTTAATGCGAAAGCATTAACTGTGTCATAGAGCGAGCTGACATCATCAGTTTGAAGCGCGAAAACGGCTTTTAGTTTCCGCGATCCCAATAGGATCGATTCGTCATCGGTTCCATTGGCTGGCGCGCATCGACGGGGCTCCCATTGGCCGCTGCGCCATGGCCTCCGAGGTCCCGAAGCGCGCGCGCGCTAGTACGCAGCAGACGACAAAGGGAGCGGACGAGCGACTTGCATGCCTTCGCATTCACAGCTCATAAGACATGCTTAGGTGTACCTCGAGCTTTTTTATGCTCCGGTTTACTTTAAGTGTGACCGCTGCCGACGCTATGCTTACAGGGAGCCAATTAACTTGCGAGAAAAAATTACATCGCCACGACGGTCGTCGTTTTTGTGCGTTAGGAGTTAGCGACAAAAGCAGTCACGCACAGTGTATGCAGACTGCACGTAGAACGCCTCAAACAGTATCTGTAAATTGTCTTTCGAATGACGGATCAACAGTGTGACAGAGGCTTAAATATGCAGTGTCGTTTCTTGCGCCATGGAAAACGACCATCGAAAGACCATATCAGTGAGTTGTAGACGTTGAAGGTGAAGTGCTTGTACGCTTTTTTTGTTCTATCTCCTTCTGCAGGATAGAACGATTAGCCGCCGAGGACTACGTTCTCGGCGACACGGGCATCAAGGTTCGCAAGGGGTGCCTCATCGCGATTCCCGTCTACTCAATGCACCATGACCCGGAGTACTTCCCTGATCCCTTCAGTTTCAAACCAGAAAGGTGAGAGAAATATCAGGCTAGTTCACACACTCGTGACTGCTTACGACCGAGTGTGTCAGAAAATCCCTTAAAATATCCGACGACAAGAGAACACACTGACGCAATCCATCGGGAAACATCGAAACACACTTGGCAGTTTCGTACATTTCTTCGTTTTTTTGTTTCTTTTATTAGCGCCTCAGACGTTTTTTTTTTTTTTTTTTTTTTTTTTCTCTTTCTGGATCTAAACCTTTCAACAACGTTATTATAAACTATAATTTCTTTAAGATAGTACGTACGTTTCATCTCGCCAATATCACAAAACTTCCGCTCTGGTGAGATGCAGTTCCAGGGTCACCGTATAACGATGGCTCTAGCGTGCCAGCGTCTTCTCCGGACAGCCTGCGTTACAGAGTTTTACAACTGCTGGATCCGGGTCACGTGGTTTATTTGTCGCATTCGCAATATGAGCTCCGAACAGGTGACGAAAGCGTCGGCAGTCTGCGAACGCCTGCGCCTTTCCACCCACTTCCCTTCTAGCGACCTGAAAACACAGAGTATGCGCACCGCCACCAATCTCTGCACACGGCGTCCGCCATTAAATTGCAGGTGCTCCTCCATGATTCGAGAAAAACCCTTTTTCAATCTAGGCGTCTGCTCTCGACGTTAGAGATCACAAGAAGCGCGATGGCGTTTTCGTGCTAACATCGTCCCTTAGTGTACGTCATTTTACTTCCTTTTGTCTGTTGCATTTCTCTTTTGTTTGGGTTTTTTTCTTACGACAGATTTATCGGCGAGAATATCGAATCGATTCGTCCGTATACCTACCTACCGTTCGGGGCTGGTCCTCGGAACTGCATTGGCAACCGATTTGCCCTGGAAGCCGTCAAGATTGCCCTGCTCCACGTGGTCCGAAGCGTCGAATTCTACCGCACCCGAAATACTGCGGTGCGTAAAAATATTTTCCTGTGATCTTGACCTTCAAATTTCTAAATATACGTGAAATTCGGTATTTAGGAAGAAATTGTTGAAATATGTTGAAAAGACATTCAGTCGCTCGTATCGCGAAATGAAGAAAAACTGTTTCGTTATTTTCTCGCTAAATTTTTCGAGAAAATTGACGTCGCGTGATTTGCCGCGTCACGTGTCGTCTAGGTACCTGATTTTATGGACCTGTTCATCCTCCCCCGCATGGACGCCGCCATCTTGGAATCGTGTGACGCGGCAGCCATTATGTTGCTTCGACTTGCTCCTCCGCTCTCCACTCTGCGCCATGGCGGATGCGTTGCATTCGTGTTTTTTGTTGCGTTTTACCGCGCTTTCTTGCTTTACTACGGAAACTTTAGTCCGGTATGTCCACTCGACCACTAAGACATCACGAGGGTTCAAAGGTCCTTATAACAACTGTGCTTGTTAACTCATTCTCAGTAGGTAGCGCGTATATTTATATCGCACATTTAGGATCGGAGGGCGTCAAGAATAGTCGGCGCAAGGAGACTATCTGTATTTCCTGAAAGTATCGTTCTTTGTATTCATAATATATCGAAAACAGTTTATGTTGATTATGTGAGGACACACGCGGGGGAAATAGACAACGAACGTTGAACTTTTATTTTATCTAAGGCTAGAAGTAATGGTACGTCAACATCAGGCGATTTTTTCTATTCATAATATCATACCGACATGTGTAGGAGGCTCTCAATCTTTTTTTTTGCGACATGAATATTCGGTTGGTCGGTTTACTTATGAAGTTTAAGAAATTGTATACCGTGCTCGCTCCCATTTCGACAGTCATTTAAGAGATTTATTGATTCTATTTATATAACCAGTGTCATCCACTTAGTTTACTTTAACACATAGGTTGGGCCTTTTCGCGTAAGAAAGTGTCACAGACAAATTAACAGTGGCGAGTTTTAGAATATCGTGCACAAAGAAATAGCGTTGTTTCTATTTGCAAATCCAAAACGCGGTTCCAGTTCGGCGCACGCGCAATAATCACAATGCTTTTCTTTTTTTCTTTTTTTTTTTGTGTATGATGTTTTAACTTTTGCCAGTATCTGGAATCCGCAATATTTGACGCCAAAAAATAAAAAAAATAACATCTCCGTAACAATTACTTGATTCCAAGATTGTCGATGGCGAATAGAGGTTTCCTTCGGATGGCTGACGAGGCCGAAATTTACAAAGCAAATCTGTTCAAATAAATAAATATTTGTTCACACAGGTCCGTGAAGTGGTGTCTAGCGCTAGATTTCAGCCATACTTTCCGAGGTATTTCTCCTTTTGCGCCCTTTAATTTTATATGGCCAATTTTACGGAAGAGAAATGCTAGATTTAATTTGACGGGCCTGTCACTTTTATCATATCTTGAGTAAGCAAATGTTCATATAAATATATTTTATTTCTTAGGGCCTATATCGCGAAATACGGCTTATAAACACTTCAGCAGGCTTGATAATTTAAAACTTTTCTACTCGGCCACTCAAAACATGCTCGAGTACTGAATAAAAAAGGAGAGTTCGAAACGATATTACTTGTTTATATCAATTATCTGCGTCATTACACGATACGTTTTTAGTCTGCGCAGTTCACTAAAGGTTGGGTGCCCACGAAAACCAAACAGTGAGTAGTAAACTCGCAAGTTCATCTGTTCTTGCCGATTCAGTACGTTGCTAGTCAAGCCGTCGATAGGCTTCTTTAGATTCACGTGTTAGTCTCTTCATTAGTTTTTCTTTCTGGAAACTGCTGTCATCTTGTACCGCCGTAGAGAATGGTAATGTCCAAGGCGTTTCGCGACCAACCATAATCAGATATAGCAAAGGAGTTGGTAAAAAAAAAACGCAATTCAGGCTAAAATACACCTCGTAGTCCTCAAAGTGGCTCAATACCGCTGTTTCAGTGGTTGTGTGCTACAAGAAAAATATTCGTATCACAAAATTAAGCAAAAACAACGTAAAACAGCAACATAGCCGCTTTCACGTTGAAAGCGAAACCAACCAAATTGAAGCAACCTAATGGCGCCGACTGCGTCAGCGCCCTCTATCCGCCGGTGAGACACTTACTAAAATGAAAAGGTCTGGGTGACGTGACTTCAATTTCCCCCCTAAATGTAAACGTGAAATTGACCTCACGTGACCCGAGGCCACATCGAGCGACGTCACGGAGTGCCGTGATCTGACGTTACACATCGTCAGGTCACGTGACGTCAATTCCCTCGCCATATTTAGCGGGCAAATGCAGGGAGGGTCGAACATGTTGATGGGATCAGAACGTTATGTTAAAAAAAGCTTTCCACGCTTTAATACCAGTGTTGGCGTTAACGCGTTAAACTAACATCATTGTGGGTAACGCGTTACATTTTCGGTAACGTTGTAACGTACTCGTTATATTTTCAAAGCAGTAACGGGTAGCGTGCTTACGTTACTTATTTTGAGTAACATGCAACGTAGTTACGTTACTCATTACATGGTCTTCCCAATACTTAAACAAATTACACTGCTATTTGTTTTCGTGTTTCTAGGTTTCATGCTTCAAATAAAAAAGCTTTTTTTCGTTTTTTTTCTTGTTTACGTCAGTATTTAGGGGGAACAGTAGAAAAGATAATGTAATCGAGTTCAGTTTCTGCATGGACATAATGTTTCTTGAAATATGGCGCCTATGCATACCCGTAACGTCAAAGGAGGAACACGTGTTAATCCGTAATTTAAAAAAAAAAAAAGTAACGAAAAGTAACGTGCGTCACATTTTAACAGTAGCGGTAAGGGTAACGCTTTCCTTTTATCTTGAGGCAACATAGGCCGGTAAAGGGTTTCTTCTATTTGTAACTAACGAGTAATGTATTGTAACGAATACAACACTGTTTAAAAGCGATCATCTTGTAGCTCGTCTCCAGTTTCACAAACTCAGCTATGAGTTGAAGCACAAGAAACTTCAGATAGAAGTATATTCCACCTAAAATCGAGCGTAACACGCTTCCTCCAGGATGCTGGAGACGCTAAAAAATCCGCCTGGTTCGGGATTCGATCTCAGATAACCAGGAATTGGCTGCCGGTAGAGCAAACGGATTTTAAGAGTGCTTCAGCGACCTCCAGTCGCATGGAGGGCGCGAGTTGCGCTCCAATTCAGGTGGAAGTCAATTCAGACTTATTTGAGTATTTCTAATCTTGGGTTTTTTTCCTAAAGTCACTACATCAATCTGTAACGCCTAATCTAACCCTTGCGGTGGTAATTATTAAAATTGGCGGCAACTGATAAGCATCTGTTGGCTTTACTGATTTCCAGCTCCTGGTTAGCTCGGTTTTTAGCCGCACGAACGAACCGCTCCCCTCTGTTAGGGGCATTGAGGGAATTTGTAAATAAGTAAAAAATAGAATGCTCCGCTTTTCTTCGAAAGGACCATGGACCGAATCATGAACCAGGTGAATTTTTTCAGCTGTCATCAGATTGCGCGACTTCCACTCTATTTTAGGTAGAAGTCCATTTATTCTCGCGCAAATCTTCGACACCTTGCAGACTTCCGCTAAACTTATTATATCAAATAAGCCACTTAAATTTCAAACAAAGAAGTTGCAGCGGCATAAACCAAACAATTCACGCCAAATCAATGTTTAAAAAAGAAAAAAAGGAAATTTAGTGACCGCTTTGTGAGGCCCACGAGGGAGCAGTCGTGCGACTTTGTTCAATCAATTTAAGCCAATAAGGTACTGAAGCAACATGACACCAAATTAAACATGCGGTCAACGTGGCGAAAAAAAAAATGGCTCCTGCCCCTTCTGCTAGTCGGACCGCGTAGCCATTGGCGCCCATTTCTGATCGCCCACCACATTTGCTGGAGTGATTGGATGAACACGGTGATGGGCGTTTCCTGTGTGCGTAACGGGACAGTTACATCGAGAGACTCTTCCTTCAGAATGCGCGTACTTGAGTCGACGATTGACTGACTTCGTCCAACGGTCCCGTGAAACTTCGTTCACACCGCTAATGCCTGAGTTCCACTATACTGTATTTCACCTTATGATGTACCGCAGGAAAGGCTACAAGCGCGAGCTTCTTGCTCTGGGGCAGATCTCGGCGGCACAAGCTCTCGCGCACTAAGGGCAGCCGCCAACGCTATGAGCTCGCGCTTCTATCCTTTGCTGCGGTACAACATAAGGTGAAACAGAGTAGAGACACGGCCACTCGATTAGGACTCCCCTTGGGAGCGGCCAGCCGTATGCCTCACTCCGCCGGTGGGAGCGATAGTTCTACTTTACCCCGCAGCGCCAGCCGTGGCGCTCGTTATCGCTGAAAGATACCTTTCGGGGGAGCATATCGAGGAACTCTATACTTCGTTTCACGTTAATATGTACTTGTTAGCCGTGCGTGCTAAAAGCGCGAGATAGTTGCTTCGAAGGAAGCCTCGGCGGCTGCATGAGCTCTCGTGCAGCGAGTGCTCCAGTCAAGGCACTAAAGGCTAGTCGCTCGCGCTAGCACAGCGTTCGCGGTTAGTCCATGCTAAGGTAAGACGAAATATAGTGAGAGAGGAGCAGTACGCCCGGCCCGGCCCGGTGTGGCTATTTAGATTTTTTTTTTCGAGAAGCCGCAAGTCTCAATTGAAACGGGTGCCAGATTGCGCGAATGATGTGACAAATCTGTGTAGAATAAAAGCACACGATTCTTTCTGCGAAAAGCTCACTCAGCTGCAGGCTGCGCGTTAAAGCTGCATTCTGCTGGCAGTATGAGCGAATTGTCGTTTTCTTGTTCCCGTAACTGTTGCCCCGTTTCTATTACCACTGTAATATAGGAGCTACAGTTGGATATAGCTAGGCCGTATGATTTCCGGTTTTAATCGACGCTCGAGCACGCGCGAGCTGTGCTATTTATTCATCTGTGAAGGACAATATAAAATCGGATTCCGCGTGCATAACTTCAGCAATATAAACTTCATTGTTCACAAAAAACAGACCAAGGGAGTCATATAGTTCACAAGCGGAGTACCTTTCTGGAAGGCTTCCGCGAAAGCCTCAATATATTTTCTAGTGGGCTGTTTAGGTCACCAGCCCAGTTTGCCAAAAAAGGTCTCAGGAGTTTTCTGAAAAAGAGCTCGCAGAGCTCTTCGCTGTGGTAGGGGTCTCGGCAGTTAACACACCACATCAGCGGGCAGTCCATAAGGTGTGAAAGCACAGCGCTCGAGAGGACCTTGCACATCCGTCCACGACGACGAATCTCTGCCGACTGTGGAGCCCTCTCGACAAAGGTGCAGACGAGCTTGCACAGCCAGACAGCTTGAGGTCGTGGATATCTGAGTCCTCCTTGTTCAAGGCTAAACATGGACTGATATGCTCCGTCATGTGATGCATTTCCCTTAAGTTGCGCTTGCATCCAGGACACGTCACCTGCAAAGTTTAGCGGGTTCTACACATTAGCCTTCCTTGCTTTCACCAAGAAATTCTTATTGCTTTGCTAGGTTGAATGTTTCAGCTAATTACTTTGAAATTACGACAATTTCTAGAAATAAAAATTGTCACCTTTTGTTCGCAAACGAAGGCCAAGTAGCCAGCCATGTAAGACAGCGGTGCAAACTCAAGTTCGAAAGAGACTTCATTATACTTGATCAACTGCAGGACTTCCTGTTTCACGAGTGGAGTTGGCACATTTCATCGCCGTCTGGCACTCAGAGCTAGGACCTGCATTTACATTTCCGGCAGCTTCCAAAATGCCAACACAAACCGAGCGCAGAGTGACACTACGATATTTTCGCCGAGCACAGCGGTGCATAGGTGGGGGGAAAGCGAGTTTTGCTGCCTTCTGCAACCGCGGCAGCACCTCGGTATCGGCGAAGCCAATGGATAGGGTATTCACACGAGGGAGAAATCCCGGGGATTTCTCCCCGGCACGCGCATCCCACGACGAAAACGTCAGGCTTTGCGATGTGCAAAGGCCTCGCGTTTTCATCTCGTGATACGCGCGTGTCGGGGAGAAATCCCCGGGATTTCTCCCTCGTGTGAATACCCCCAAGAGCGCGTTGGGCGCCTTCTCTACACTCCGTTTCACCTTATGTTGTACTGCAGTGAAGGCTGGAAGCGCGAGCTCATAGCGTTGACAGCTGCCCTTACTGCACGAGAGCTTGTGCCGCCGAGATCTGCCCCAGAGCAAGGAGCTCGCGCTTACAGCCTTTCCTGCGGTACATTGGGTGAAACAGAGTATAGCTTTCAGCTTACAAGACCGCTCATCGATGTGCAGCGCCCCCACGGAAAATGGGCGAAGTTCTCCTCTCACGTGCGCTCTTTTGTTTTCGGAAAGACATCGGCAGGCCACACCAACAGGGGGGATCGAGTGGCCGTGGTATAGATAATTAAACTTGAGGAAGAAAATGAGAAGGGATGGACAAACACAAACTTCCCCTTTTCTTCCTCAAGTTTTATTATCCATACATACCCGCTCGTTCTGTCCTTATAGAGTTGAAGCGTACTGAGCTTCAACTAATTTATTTACACTATTTACATTATGTTAAATCTGAAACGTGACGGGCCGACCTTGCGGTTGCCTTTGTTCCTCGATGTCTGTGCTGTCTCAGATTTAACATAATGTAAATCGTGTAAATAAATTAGTTGAAGCTCAGTACGCTTCAAATTGGTGACCCGGACGTGATAAGAGTATAGAGCTACAACCAAAAACGAACGACAGCGAAAAGCCTCCAACACATCCAACATGCTCGCGATGGTGCCTTTGGTAGGCGTTTTGTCGTTCGGTGCTCATGAAGTAAGCAGGAGTGATTGCAAGCCTGCCGAAGATACCCTCGCGTGCACCATGCTCGTGTTTGAGCATAGCTTCTTTATTCTCCAAATCCTGTGAAATCGCGAAAGACTCTGGTTTGAGGCTTGTAGCTGTCGTTTGCTTCTGTTTGTCGCTCTAGTGGAACTCGGAATACTAAATACATCATGCAAAGGACAGTCTACAGACACTATTTGAGGCGTGTTTCTGCCTTCCTTCACAAACCTGTCGCATTGATCATACAACAACTGTCTAGAGTGATGTTTGAAGCGTTACAAATGTATGATGGTAACACACCTCCCCCCCCCCCCCCGCCCCCCCCCCCCCCCCCCCAAAGAAGCTTGAGGCGTGTGCGCAGGTAATTTTGCCATTGTATCTGCGGCGATGTACGATGAATGAGCCAAGTGACCACGGCTTAAGTGGCCTCCCCAGCCTAAAATGGGGGTAGTTCTATAGAAACACCTCGTGGCAGATACCAGGACCTCCTCGTGAAAGTGTCCGCGAAGTTGCGGCTCGCGATTTGAAGAATAGAGCATATGAAACGCTTTAAGAAATTCCCATATTGCAACTCTCTCCATAAACGAGCCGTGATGTAACAGGATCAGGGGAGCTCCCTATAGGGCATTCCTTCCTCCGCCCTCCTCCCCGACAAGTGAATCTTATGGTATATTCGGCTGGTCGTTTTTCGGACTCTTGGAGCGCTCTGAAAAGCCGGTGTGCATTCGGCTAGTCGATGCCAGGCGCTCCAAGTATATTCGCCGGGTTCTTTCGGAGCGCTCTCGAATCTCCGACTCTCGCCGGCCTCCGAATCGGAGCGGTTTGAGGCGCTCTGACTTGGAAGTGGGAGCGCGCGAGAGATCTGGCTGCCGACCGGTCACGTGACTCCAGCCATTCCGCCATTTTGCTTTTGTGTTGGAAGCGGACGGCGAGAATGCAGCTACTCCGTAAAAATAGGGCTGCGAAAAACAGCCGTCAGTCTTGACGCCGTCACCGTTGTGTTGTGCTCTTCGAATTGAGGTGAAATGTCGTTGAAACGAAGACGTTTAATGTTAGTGGTGGCACCGCCAGTGCTGCTGGCGAAGCTAGCAGACAGCGACAACACCAGCAGGTCGGACTACGACGACGAGGACCGTGTTTGCGAAGCAAAGTTTGCCGAGTTGTTTGACGCACCTTGTACCTAACTTTGCCTTGTACCAACGTTGCCTTGTACCAACGTTACCTTGTACGGTGCCCAAGGTCAAGGCCTATGTTTTTATAGTGCGAACCTACTCGGACAAAGCGGTAAGTACAGAAGTACGAGAGTTTTCAAGCTGTAATGTTGTCTTTTTTTTATAGTTTCGCAGGAACTTCCGCTTGGCACGGCTGGCTTGCGATGATCTTATCAGCGTACGCGTTGACGGTTGCCATTTTTCAAGGATTTATGGATGGATGAATCACTGAATACTGCTCAACCCTTTGAATCCAAAGAGCAAAAGTTCCGCTAGAGGGCGGCTCGCGCCGTCCTCTAGTGGCGCACGCCACCCTCTATCCGCTCGGCTTGCCGCTCTGAAAAGTTGAAGAGTGTTCGGCTGGGCGCGCCGATTCTCTCGCTCCGATGCGGAGGCGCTCCGGGATCTGGTAGCTACAACTCGGATGATTGGAGTGCTCGAAAGTGACCGAACGAATATACCATTAGATGCTCTGTGCTACCAGATCTGCGCTCTCCATATCTGCGACCGGGCACTCTATGGCTCAGTCCTCGAACTGCCAGGCTTTCTGAGTATAGAGGAGGTTATGACTACAGTTATGGCGGCGTCACGTGCGTGGAACACTTAGTTAGATCCGTTTAGATCGATGTATTGGATGTGCGTAAAACTGCACGGGGTGTCAAGACGTACGATTGCTACTTTTAGGCTGGAGCAGCCCTTTAAAGAGAGTTCTCGAATCTTTGTCCAGGTTCCTTTGGAATTCGTTCGTCGCCTCAGGTTTCTCCAAGCCAAAGACATCACTGTAGGAATTCGGAAGAGACCTCTGTGACGTACCCACTCCCATGGCTATGGGACATCGCCAGGATCTCTATGCAACGCGACAAATGCTGAGGGCCCGCTTGATGTTTAGTGCCAATCATACTCAACGTAGTACATCAACATATCTCGGAAATGACTCACAATGTGTAGGACACCTGAACTTGCGAATAAAGTATAGGGAGTATTGACTGGACGCCATATTTGTATGCACTGTGTATTGGGCATTTTCAAATGGAACTCACACTTATAGGTTCCCAAAACCGACAATCTTGGTAACGTGTAATGCACGTTGCAAAAGCGCCGCCGAAGCTCGTCTTCAGCACGTGCTAAGCAGCTATAGGCCCTCAGCTATGGCACCAAGTGAAGACACCACTCCTTGTGACATAAAGAAAAAAAAAAAAGGTCTTCGGTATCGTTCATGGGCTGCTCGGAGTAGTCATTACAAGACCTGGCTATCGGGTGAAGAAACAATTGTTTGCTGTTTGAATCGCATGTACCTTTGATAAGATAGAATAGAGCGAATTTAAAGTGGACCTACATATATTTTAATTACACATGCAAAGGGAATTTGAAAAGTTCCATGAGGATCTGGAATATTGTTACTGCTCTTCTTGCGGTGCTTGCGGGTATAGCTTTGAATGTATGAGTAGTATGCCCAAAGTATATCACTCGAAAGGCTTGTTCACACACTTGCGACTCCTTAGCGCCAAGTGCGTTAAAACCTTCTAAAATGTCTTACTATAAAGTAATATTACGAAGGGGAGAAGTTGAGCTGGTTGGTGATTCATATCTGGGCGAAGCCAGCTGAACATACAATTATATGTTCAGCTGGTTGTATGAATGGTTGTAATTGTATGTTCAGCTGGTTGTATGAATGGTTGTAATTGTAAATGTATGTTCAGCTGGTTTCGCCAAAATAAAGTAATATAGTGATGCGCGAAGAGGGGCCATTAAGTTCTATCGAGGCCAAGCTGTTAAAATTCCCAACGCCGGCTAGCTAGCGCTGCAGTGCCTAATTATTTATACATCTCTTAATACTTGCACTATGAAGAAATATTTCTACGTTAATTTACATATTTCTAGCACTATTAGTACCTTTAAACATTTTTTTTTTTAATATTGCGATCGCGATTGAGGTTTTCTCAAGGCACCCGAATTGGCAGCCGCCATTGCCGCCATAACTGCAGCAAAGGTGGCGGGGGATTCATGCGGCGTGCTGTTGCTGTCATCGTGTAGATTTCTTGTCGGTGGTATTTTGTGGCGACGGTGGAACGCTTGAAGAGCAACCACGTGGAGATTGCTTCAAGTCTCTCTTGAGCGCCAGCTCCGTCGCCCAAAAGCTATTTTTCTGTTTCCGATAAATTCATGCGAGCTGACGCCACAAACATGAAGCTCTCGTCTTGAGCGACGCTTTCACTTCACGAGCTTGCATGCATTAGAGGTTCGTTTAAAGCGTCGAGCTCGCTCTCATAGCCCCTTCTTCGCTCTCACTTACGGTGAAATCGAGTACGCAGTTCAACGGACGCCTGCATAACAGTTATTTTCGTTATGGTTGTTTTTGTGGTTACTCAATTTTCTTCGGCTCTTTTTGTTTCTTAGAGCGGAGCTCTTAGGCGCTTGTTTCCGTCTTCAGCGGCATCGCCGTCGCCTTTGCCGTCGGCGTAACCGCTCGGTGCATTATGGGAAATGTCCCATGATGCAACGTGCGGGGGGATTAGGGGAAGGAGGATGGCGGGAGGCGAGGAGGAGGCGGAGAGGGACGAGGAGGACGACGGAAGCGAGGGGAGGAGGAGGGGAGGGGGAGGAGGAAGGAGGACGAGGGAGAAAGAGGGAGAGGAGGAGGGACGACGAGGAAGAGAGGGGAGGGGGAGGAGGGAGGAAGAGGACATGAAGGAGGCGTGGAGGAGGAGGGAGGAAGAGGACATGAAGGAGGCGTGGAGGAGGAGGGTATTGGCAGTATGAGGGAGGACGAGGGGAGGAGGTGGTGAAGGAGGAGTGGAAGAGAAGGACGAGAAGGAGGGAGAGGAGGGAGGAGGGGAGGAGGAGTATCAGGGCGGATGAGGAGGTGAGGAAAGGTATAGACCGGCACGCGGAGCGGCTCTGTTTACCAACACGGCCGGAAGGCCGCGCATGCGCTGTAGCTATGTGGGCAAAAGCAGCCCGGCTGTCCGTGTTTTCGCCATTGCGCTCTATGGCGTGCGCTCGTTGTTGACGTTGTAGGGACGCTTGTATCTTTATTTGTGCGTCGTATTTCCTCATAACGTATGTCGTATGCTATGCCCGACTATTTGAGCTCGTTGCCCGAGCGTGAACGGTAGCGGTATCGAAACAAACTGTGCGTGGACGGCGTTGCCTACGAGGATCCGTACGCCGTAAACAAGGCCTGCTGGACTTCCGACTTAAAGTTGCTGCCACGGAAGTCAACGGCTCAGGTCGTCGTTTATTTAGTTTTTTCGCCAAGCCAGTTCACGGCCGACACGGTGCAGGCGTACAAGTCTCTCGAGGTCTACGATTACATCGAGTCGGTTTCCGCACTGCCGGCGGGATCAGCAGACTGTGGGTCTGCGGAAGTGTGTGTGTTCATTAATTGATTAAATACACAGAGCGTCTTCAAGTCAAGGTATGATCTTTTTCATACCCTCATGACCACAAGGCATTACAACCAATGAAGGTTTGTCCGTTCTGCAGTCTTGACGGTAACAGGTTACAAGTAACGGCGTTACCAGGAACGCGTTACTTTTTTCAGTAACGTAGTAACCTATCCGTTACTTTTTCAGCACAGTAACGGGTAACGTACTTATGTTACTATTTCAAGTAACATAGTTACGTTAGTCGTTACTACTTCCCAAGTCTTAAAGAAATTACACTTCAACTGTTAACGTGTTTTAGGCGTCAAGCCATGTTTTTCTTTGCGTTTTTTCTCGTATTTAGGTGAAACCGTGAAAAGAGCTAAAGTAATTATGTTCAGTTTCTGCATGAACAGAATGTTTCTTGATATATGAGCTTATGCATACCTGGATCGTCAAAACCGTAAAATGTGTTACATCATAATTTAAAAAAGTAACGCAGAAGTGCCTTACTTTTTATCGGTAGCGGCAACGCGTCCTTTTATTTTTAGATAACGTAGCTCAGTAACGCGTACCTTTGATTTGCAAGTAACGAGTAACGTATTTCGTTACTTTTTTTTTGGTAACGCCTACAACACTGTCGTTCTGTCGTCGATCCCCTTCTGCTCGGTAGCACGGGCGTAGCGAGCCTCCGACGAGCGCTTGGGGGGTGCCCGGGTGCGTTGTGCACGAACACCGTGGAAACAAAATCCGGGTGGTCTCGATCAGACAACGGTTTCCCTGCACATATGCAAGCCTTGGGACGGAGATTGAAATGGAAGCCGCACTTGCCTCCAAGAAAGTGTTTGCCGCACAAACGGTCGTTCGCGCGAGGCGACCATTCTTTTCGATCCACCGATATTATCCACCTTCTATGCCTTTCAGACTCTACCGGGAACTCGTGGAAACTCACTCCGCTGTTTTTCTTGTACATTTTGGTGCAATTAACGGCAACACAGCTTCGCGGCATGCTGAAATGCTACGACGCCCATGCGAAACGTGCGCGCTTTTGCCCACACCCCCCGGCTCCGGCGCGATCGCAGCGCCGCCGCAGCTCCGTGACGTCAGGCCCGCGTGTCGGTGTATACCCTTCCCTAAGTACCCTTCCCTCCTCCTCCTCAAGAGCCGCGCTCTAATTCGGCGTTACAGGGTGTTGTAAACGTCTTACATTTTTCCTGTCGAATGAAGTTGTTTTAGTTCTCTATTGCATGTTGTATATCGTTCCTCGTCGACTCTGGAATATGGAATTTACGCGTCCGTTTGAGTGATCAACTCTTATTCGAAGTCAATACTCTAGTTATTCACAATAGACTAAGTGACGCTAGTTACCGCTTGATACGAACGGAACCACTGATATGAGGTGTCCACTCATTCAGGTAACAGCCATGTGTGTCTCTAGCTTTGTAGTGGACGAAAGCGCCTAAACAGAAAGCCGAGACAAAATTCAAAACAGCCGCTAGGTGCTCTGAGAGTCAAGTGAGACTAAAAGAGAGCCTAGTGTAACTGTATGTGCTCCGCCTTGCGGAGCAGAGTACCGCAATGGTACGTCCAGGGCGGCCATGTTGGATCCAAGGGCGCACTGCGGGAAGCGATCGTCGCTTCTGCAAGATTCCCGGTTGCGCGAGCTACGCGATCGTCCCCCGTGTCGTGTTCTTCCCAATATTTGAAAGCGTGCTTTAAGACATCGCTATAGCGTTAGAAAACAACGCGATTATACTGCATCTAGTGGCTACACATAATATTGAATGGTTAAGGAACTTTCCAGTTCGTTCTATTTTAGCGTAGGAAGTATATTTCGCAAACACACAGCCAGAAACATGATCCGCTCAAAACTCGGCGCCTGCAAGGTCGCTGTCCCGCACGAAATTCGGATCCAGCTCGGTGCACGTGACCGCTTCTCCGCCAATACGGAGTTGGCGGCGCAAGGAAAAGGAACGCGATACTCAGGCTCTGCAAGCGGAGCCTATACAGTCACTCTATGTGAGCCTAGAGTTCTTGCATAGGCTCGCTACGGGAGCCAAGGGACGTTTGTTCGACCGCACCGTTATTCGCCGAGGTCGATCATGTGAGGAGCAAAGAATCCTGCGCCGTGCAGAAAAGTCTGTTCGTTGACGTTGCGCGCACCCCGGTCCCCTGATTTTGCCTTCTTCTCCTCCTTTGCTGTTTTCCATGCGCGGCGGCGCTCGCAGCGCCGCTATTCGCCGAATTCAGTCATGTAATCGGCCGCAATCGGCGGAACATGGCTCCTAAAAGCGTGAGGAGCCGCTTTCCAGTATAACTTAGGATTTCAAGATGGCTGGACGCGCAACTCTGGCTCCTTTAAGAGCCTCAACAGGAACTCTAAGTAAGTCGAAATTCTCGATAAAGTTCACGCTTACAAGTATACTGCCCACCATTGTCGTGG